ATCTGGGGGATCCCCAGAGTTCGAGGGGTCCAGAAGGTTCCCGGGAATCCGGGGGGGTCCGGTACTTTTGGGGGGGTCCCAAAACCCCAGCGGTCCCAAAATCCGGGGGGTGGGGTCCCAAAATGTGGGGGATCCCCCTTGTTCGGGGGCTCCCCAGGAATCCGGGGACCCCCTCAGGGCGCTTGGAGGGGACAAACGGGGGGAGATGGGGGGGATGGTGGGATGTGTCCGTTCCCACGGGGGGGAGGGGCGCCCAGGGCTGCGTGTCGCTGTCCCCGCCGCCGTGTCCCTGTCGCTGTGTCGCTGTCGCTGTCCCCTCCCCGTGTCCCAATTCCAGCCGGGGGCCGCCGAGGGGGCGCCGGGGGTCCCCAGCCAAAGGGGGAGGGGGGATGGGAACCCCCAAATGCCGGGACCCCCCCCAGGACCCCCCCCCCCGGGTGGGCTCGAGGCTTCTCCAGGGGTTTGGGGGGTCCCCAACGTCACCTGAGCCCCCCAAGCCCACCCCCCGCCTCACCTGGGGGTCCCTCCCCTCAGCTGGGGGTCCGTCCCCCCACCTGGGGTCCCCTGGGGTCCCCCCTCACCTGTGCCAGCCGGGGGTCCCTGCGCTGTCCCCCGTTGTCCCCCGTGTCCATCATGCCTCAAACCGGTGGGGGGGCTCTGGAGCAGCAGAGACCCCTCCCCAAAATCCGCATCAGCCCCGGGCTGCGACCCCCCGCCCCCCCCAGAACAGCTCCTGGTCCCTTTTTTGGGGGGGAAAATCGGGGGGGAAAACCGGGGGTCCCCGGGCTCCCACCCGGGGGGGATTTTTGTGCCCCCTGCCCACCCTAGGGGGGTGTTCTGTGCCCCCTGCCCACCCTGGATGTGATCTTTGTGCCCCCCACCCACCCTGGCGGGGATTTTTGTGCCCCCTGCCCACCCGGGGCTGTTCCGGACCCCCCGTGTCCCTCAGCTGTCCCTCACCTGTCCCTCAGTGTCGCTGCCGAGCCCGCGGGGCCGTGTGGCACCGCGAGTGGCACCGCGAGTGGCACCGCGTGTCGCTGCCGAGCCCGCTGGGCCGGGGCGCTGCCAGTGCCACCGCGGCCGTGTGGCACCGCCAGTGGCACCGCGAGTGGCACCGCGAGTGGCACAGCGAGTGGCACCGCGAGTGGCACCGCGTCCCTCCCCCGGGCTGTCCCCTCGGGGAGGGGACAGGGCCAGCCCATCCCTCCCCCCCGGGCTCCGTTCGGCTCCAGCGGCTCCGGTGTCGCCGCCGCCCTCGCCCGAGGGGACGCGGGTTTCGGGGCACCGCCCCGGGGCACCCCGCAATCCGGGTGGCACCCCTGCCCGAGGGGACACAGGTGACACGGGCACCCCGGAATTTGGGTGGCACCCCTGTCCTCGCCCAGGGGACAGAGCAGAATTCGGTGGCAGCTCCACCCCAGGGGACACAGGTGACACAGAGCACCCCAAAATTCTGGTGTCATCCCTGCCTGAGGGGACACAGGTATCCCAGGACACCACCAAATTTGGGTGTCACCCCCTTCCAAGGGGATACAGGTGACACAGGGCATCCTGGAATTTGGGTGGCACTCCTGTCCTCGCCCGGGGGACAGAGCAGAATTCGGGTGTCACCCCCACCCCAGGGGACACAGGTGTCCCAGGACACCCCGGAATTTGGGTGTCACCTCTGTTCTCGCCCAGAGGACACAGGTGTCCTGGGGCACAGTGGAATTTGGGTGTCACTCCTGCCTGAGGGGACACAGGTGTGCCAGGGCACAGCAGAATTCAGGTGTCACCCCCACCCGAGGGGACACAGGTGTCCCATGGCACCCCAGAACTTCGGTGTCACCCCCACCCGAGGGGACACAGGTGTCCCATGGCACCCCAGAACTTCGGTGTCACCCCCACCCGAGGGGACACAGGTGTCCCAGGACATCCCGGAATTCGGGAGCCACCCAAGGGAGGAATGTTGGGGTGGTGGGAACCGCAGGGATGTCACCTGTGATGTCACCTGTGATGTCACCTGTGAGGTCACAGTGCCAGCTGCGATGGGGGCAGGGCATGGCACCAGCAGTGACATCACGCTGGTGGGTGTGACATCATGGTGGTGGGTGTGACGTCACAGTGCTGGGTGTGACGTCACGGCGGGGAAGGCTGTTGGTGATGTCACAGGAGTCAGTGACCCCTGGTGTGGGCTGGGGTTGGGTGGGACAGAGGGGACAGCAGGGGATCATGGGATCATATGAGGGGTCACCGCGGGTCACCTGTACGGTGGGGTCAGCCTGGAGAGACACAGTGACACCGGTCACCACGGGTCACCGCAGGTCACTGCGGGTCACCACGGGTCACCACGGGTCACCATGGAGAGACACAGAGTGACACCGGTCACCACGGGTCACCACGGGTCACCACGGGTCACCATGGGTCACCATAGGTCACCACGGGTCACCATGGAGAGACACAGAGTGACACCGGTCACCACGGGTCACCACGGGTCACCATAGGTCACCACGGGTCACCATGGAGAGACACAGAGTGACACCGGTCACCACGGGTCACCATGGGTCACCATGGGTCACCATGGGTCACCACGGAGAGACACAGAGTGACACCGGTCACCACGGGTCACCATAGGTCACCATGGGTCACCATGGAGAAACACAGAGTGACACCGGTCTCACGGATCACTACGGGTCACCACTGGTCACCATGGAGAGACACAGAGTGACACCGGTCACCACGGGTCACCACGGGTCACTATGGGTCACCACGGGTCACCATGGAGAGACACAAAGTGACACTGGTCACCACAGGTCACCGTGGGTCATCATGAGTCATCATGGATCAATGTGGGTCAGCATGGGTCAAGGTGGTCACCATGGGTCAGCCCGGTTCAATGTGGATGAACAGATGGATCAATGTGGGTCAGCAGGGATCAGTGGTCAAGAAGAGTCAGCATGGGTCACCATGGATGGACAGGAGTCAACCAGTCAGCGTGGGTCACCACGGATGGACGTGGGCCATCATGGACCAAGAGGAGTCAATGTGGGTCAACATGGATTGACAGGTGTCAACAAATCGATGTGGGTCAACATGGATGGACACTGATCAAAACTGGCCAAGGAGTCAATGTGGGGTCAACATGAATCATCATGGATCGGCAGGAGTCAACGAGTCAACGTGGGTCACCATGGATGGACACGGACCATCATGGGCCAGGAGGAATCAACATGGATCACCATGGATTGACAGGAGTCAACGAGTCAAGGTGGGTCAATACAGGGTGACGTGGATTGGCACAGGTGGACAAGGGTCAGCCAAAACGGGGCAGAGCAGAGTGACAGGGCCAACGTGGGTCAACATGGACTGACAAGGGTCAACGAGTCAACATGGGCCAACATGGACCGACAGGGGTTAATGAGTTAATGTGGACCAACATGGATGGAGCCAGACCAAGAGGAGTCAGCGTGGGTCACCATGGATTGACAGGAGTCTACAGGAATCTACGTGGGTCAGCATGTGTGGACGTGAACCATCATGGACCAAGAGGAGTCAACATGGGCCGACATGGATCAGCAGGAGTCCATGAATCAATGTGGATCCACATGGATGGACATGGACCATCATGGACCAAGAGGAGTCAACATGGGCCAACATGGATCATCATGGACCACAAGGAATCAACATGGATCACCATGGTCAACATGGGTCACCATGGATGGACGTGGGCCATCATGGCCAAGAGGAATCAACATGGATAGCCATGGACTGACAGGAGTCAATGAGTCAACGTGGATCAACATGGATGGACATGGAACATCATGGGCCAAGAGGAGTCAACGTGTGTCAACATGGATGGACGTGGAACATCATGGGCCAAGAGGAGTCAACGTGGGTCAACATGGATGGACATGGAACATCATGGGCCAAGAGGAGTGCATGTGGGTCACCATGGATGGACGCAGACCACCATGGGGTCCCTAAGAGGGTGTGTAGGGGGCCCAGCTCTGTGGGGGTCCCCGTGAGGGTCCCTGTGAGGACATTGGGGACACTAGGGTCCCCGTGAGGATCCTGTGGGGACTTTGGGGTCCCTGTGGGGACATTGGGGACATTGGGGAGGGTCCCTCTGGAGACACTGGGGACATTGGGGACATCGGGGTCCCCACGGGGATCCGTAAGGAGCCGCGACCCTGCAGCACCCCCGGCCCGCCAGGGAGCGCCCCTCGCTGCGCGGCCGCTCCCGCGTCTCTATGGCGGCAGAGGGGCGCGCTGGGCTCCTCTCTATGCTCCGCTTCCGGTCCGGTCTAGCGGAAGTGACGTCAGAGAGCGGCGGCGGCCGGAGCCGGAGCGAGGTGTGGGGGAGGGGCCGGGGGTCCCGGGGGTGTTTTTGGTGGGGGGGGAGGGGAAGGGTCGGGCCGGGAGGTCCCGAGGGGTCCCGGGGGGGGCGGGAACCGGCTCGGGGGGCTCCGCCTGTCGTGACAGCTCGGGGACATCCGGCCCGCCGTCCCTCGGGGTGATGTCATCGGCGCGCGGTGACGTCACACGGGCTGTCCCCAGCCCCCGCCGCTGTCCCCATCAGTGTCCCCAGCCCCGGTGACATCCCGCAGGATGTCCCCAGCCCCGTCTCTCTGTCCCCAGGGCCCGCCAGCCTCGCCGCTGTCCCCGCCGGTGTCCCCGTGTGTGTCCCCAGCGCCGCGGGGCTCCCGCCACCCCGGTGTCCCTGCTGTCCCCATTGTCCCCGTGTCCCTCTGTCCCCTGTGACCTCTCTATCTCCAGTGTCCCCTGTCCCCTCTATCCCCACCATCCCAGTGTCCCCAGTGTCAACACCATCCCAGTGTCCCCCTGTCCCCTCTATCCCCAGTGTCCCCTCCATCCCCACCATCCCAGTGTCCCCCCGTGTCCCCCTGTCCCCTGCTGTCCCCCAGTGTCCCCCTATCCCCCAGTGTGTCCCCCTATCTGGTCACCACAGGTCACCGT